TTCATAAAAATTACTCAAACATCTATTCCATGGAAAATAACTGAGGGTTCAAGCAGGTTGGATGCTTGTAGGTCATATATCCTCGATTGGTCACTCCGCTGTGAATCAAGTTAGATGCCTCTAATTTTACGTTATTTGACAAGTTGATCCCAATCGCCCCTCCCCAAATAAAATCCTGTATCCACCACTGAATCACGAAGCCTTGCTAATACTGATAGTGGAAATTTATATAATTGAAAAAATTAACTAATATTGAGACATTTTCCTAAAAAAAAAAAATACTTTGAGTAAAATTCATTGTTCTCAAAAGCGCACGCGTAGCACGTTGAGGTTTCGGTTCCATTGAAAAAAAAAAACAATTAACAATCCGCTGGCTTCGTCGTGTAGTATGAATTATGATAAACGCATTTTGGCAGCAAAGGATGCCAAAGTCCTTGATAAGTATTTGATAAGTATCTGGTTACAGCACCTTTCAAGAAGGGAAACTTGTACAATTAAATAATAAAATGACCAGGTAATTATTTGATTTAAATAACGGTATGGGTAAGGTACTTATATCATACAAGTTGTATGTATTACCAAATAATTTTGAAAAAAGTGACCTCTATTTTACGTGGGTTAATGTGGTCACCATATGTATAGCCCTTCTTTGTGCGAGAAGTATTCCGCATAGCTCACCCTGCAAACTAATGCTGGTGCGGTACGCTGATGGTAAGGTGCACCTTGTTTATGGACGATGTCGTTTTGTTTCAGAAAAATTTGAAATTCTCTACAATTAAATTGTTTCCCATGGTCACTTACCAAAGTGTTTGGAATGGAGATGGGCACGGGACTAAATATTTAATTCCGATCCCACCCATCCCGAAATTCGTTTTTTAAGGCCCGAACCCGTCCATCCCCACATTTCTCAGAATTGTACCGCGGGTCCCGTGGGTCCCGATATCTATCTCTAAAGCAGGCTACAAACGGACAACAAATTGAAACGATCGGTTGAGATTTCAACGTGTGTGGCGTGGTTTGCAAACCGATCGAAGGTTGGCCAAAATATTAATGTCTTTCAAATTAATTTTAAAGAATAATAATGAAAGATCTGGAATCTTCCGATTATTTTGTTCAGCTTTGCTGTTCGTTTTCGTCCCAATAAAACATTAAAAGTGCATATTTAAAACATCTTTTTTAAGGAAGATTTTGTTAAATTGCGGGTGTTGCGGTTTTATCGGGAGTGTCGGGAAAGAATTTTGGTCCCGTCCTGCTCGCCATATTTATACAGATCTTACCGATACCGCCTATCCTGGCCCACTTTAAATCAGTACCGTGGGTCCCGCGGGTCCCGCTATCCCGCGCCCATCTCTAGTTTGGAACAACAAAGCGGGCGAAAATTTCTTTATACTTCTGTTTTGTTGTTTTTGCATTTATGTTTGTCACTACATGGACTTCTGGCCACTAATACCAGTAAGTGTTTTGCTAAAAATGGGCCCGCATAGTTAATATGAACGCGTTCGAATGCCTTACTTGGCTGCATCCAGCAATGTACTAGGAACCTCTTTAGATCTGCTCGTACTTATTGACACTGAAAATAGCCAGATACAAGCGTTTCTATGTCCTTGTCCAAGCCACTTTCCCAGCAAACACAGTTTCAAACGTTTGAGAAAAATGTATTTCTCAATTTGATATCAAATGTTTTTCTCAAGTGAGTCTCAAATTGAAAACGACGTTTAAATTTTACATTTGAAACTCATTTGAGGTTGATTTGAAGAAAGATGTCAAGTTTCAAACGATATAAAAATGCGTGGTTAAATCAAAAATTGTAAGAATAAAATTAAGATCAATTGAAAAAAACCAATGAATAGAAAAAAATTTTCAAGAGAAAGCCCACAAATAGTGGATTTGATGTTTACGCGGATTGAAGAAGCTGCAGCCCTTCAAAACGTATTTGTTATAAATTACTTTACCTTAATTGTTTCTTTTGTTATGTACATACATATGTACATGGCGAAGAAAAAATAAATATGAAATATGCATTTCCTATAATAAATTTTATTTCCACATTTGAAGCACAATTGATAAATAACCTTTGAAATTGATTTGAGAGTTAACCATATTCTCAAATGGAGATCAAACTCCCCTTTTTATTGAGAAAGCTGTAATTTTCAAATCAATATCAAATCATTTTCAAACGTTTGCCATTTGAGAAAGGCTTTGATTTCAAATCATTCTCAAATGTATATCAAACCTAATTGTTTGCTGGGTTACCAACAATATGCCGCTGTACTTTATAGTCTTTCATGTACTCGGAATTTCCAGGGTTTATGCGCATGTTCACTGTTATTTTGATATCCCTGGAATGTCTCCAAGTAGTTGCTGTATTAACTGCTGCCAGATTTCTGTCGTCGATGTGATGCCGAACATCAGTCGAGTGGGTTGATAAAGTGCAGTGGGTATATAAATGCATATATGGAATACTTCTATATTGGCAGTACGGTGAAAGTACATCCGCCAACATTAGACTGCAGATATATAATGTTAGAGCGAGAAAACCAACCAGCCAATGTACCCAGAATTACGTTTTAAAACAATAAAAAATCAGAAATTTTAATTTTAAAAGCAAAAATAAAAAAAAAGGTGAGGAGCTGTGCTGTTTGTAGAAGCAAAAAAGTAAGGAACATGAAATCGTATTGCATGCGTCATTATGTTGTACTACTTGAAAATGAACCGTATTGGGAAAAGTGGGCAGACGCTACATGTCGGCTAAGGCGCTGGAAAGGAAGGCACGCAACCGCACTGTATATTTTTTAAGAGTGGTTACGGTAATCTTGTTGCTTATTCAAATCCGCCGGTTACCACAAAGCTTGCACCAATCAGTTTCAGGGAAAAATGTTTGGTAGTTTATTTGTTTATCATTTTTTATTTCAAACCAGCGAAGCCAACTCGTGGGGAGTTCCCCGATATGCGGAAACTTTCAGTTTGCGTGGGGAATCGGCGAATGGACCATTTTTTGTGGGGAATTTCAGTTACCGTACGGAATCGGGGGTGAACTGTTTTTTTGTGAGGAATTAAGTGTGACAAATTTTTTTTTCTTTTTTGCTTCACTAATTTCATAATGAGTTAAAAAAGTTGCATAAGAAATACAACTGCAACTAAAAGTACTGATTTTGTAACCCTGCCAATTATGCAAATAACCGTTGATTTTTCAAAATAAATAAATAAATTTTATTTTTATATGGACCCACTGGGAAAATAGGTAAGCACCTTACGAGGTAAGCCATGTTTTCTTCTAGTTTTTAGTACCAAAATTGTCATCATGGCCAATGTCATCTACTAGTAAAGCGCAAAATGAACACCTCCGACGACACATTACGTTGTTAGTTGCAAAATAACGTGCAGCCGAAGTTATTTGCTAGCACCGAACTACTCCGGGCGACTGCTCTGCATTAAACGTAACTTATTTTGTAAAGCGGCTCAGAAGTATGTCTGATACCAAATGTATACATATTCTCAATTCCTACTGACATAAGGCGGCCACGTCTTTGTTAAAGTAAGGGAGATTCGTCAGTGACGTGGTAAGGACAGCCGGGTGAAGTGTAAGTTGCTGGTAAGGTATTGCCCTTCACCTGGCGGTCCTTACCACTTCCCTGCCGAATGGCTTACCTCGTAAGGCGCTTACCTATTTTCCCAGTGGGGAAGAAAACCGCAACCAACACCAAACAAAATTCTAAAAGGAAACTTTTTTAGCCACTTGAAACTTGCGCTTTATTATACTAGAACTGAGTGTGCTACAGTACTGCATACCCAAAATCTTTCTAGGAAATCGAATTTAGAAAGCTCGAAATTTATTCGAAGGTTTGTTGAACTTTTTTTAATATTGCACAAAGTCTGAAACTTGGATGTATACGGTTTTTATTGGAGAATGAACTTTATTTTTATAAAAAAATAACTCAAATTAAATAGCAAAAAAACTAATTGTGAAAACTTGTCAAAACTTGATGGAACTTACATTTTTTCGACCACTGTATGTATGTAAGTAAGTATTATATGTACATTTTTTATTATTTATTTGTTAACTTACTTTACAAAAGTTTAGTTTGATTTATAAATACATAGATAAATTGCATTCTGAAATAAAATAAACAGAAAGACCAGCAATATATCAAAATAAAATTTTTTTTTTTAATAAGGTGAAGGGTTGGAATTCTACGAAATTTCGGGCAAAATCGGGGAATTTCATAGTCGAAATCGGGGAATTCTTAAAAATTAGTTTGCTACCCTGTTTAAACCGCTTTTGGAGTGACTTGACAGTTGTTTGATTGCAGTAGTTTACAAATATACATTTATACTAACACAGGTAAACATTTATTTGATAGGCTGTCTCCCTTTGATTGTAGAATGAAAACACATTGTGAAGATACGTTACTATCAATATAGACGTATTACATACGTATATGGTTGAGTGTGACTTTAAACACATTTTGCGCCGTGGAAGGGCAACATTTTTGAAAGAAACGAAATCACCATAAGTTTTTTTTAAATATCATAGTAGACCATATGAAATGTAAACGAAAATTGAAAAAAAAAATATAAAAAAATGGTCCTGAGGTAAGCAAACTTTCCAAAAGATGGTTTTCAATCTCCTTTTTATGAAAAACGGGTCAATTTAGAATTTTCGAGAAAAAAATAAGAACGATATTTGACCCGTTAGAGACCAAATAATTTGAAAAATAAAAAATCAGATCAGCTGATTTGCTGATAGCACCCTTTCAATATACCTTGATTGCTACTGAAATAAAAATTCATTTAGCAATGTTTCACCACTGTTTATTCATATCTGGATTACGGCAGCGCCACAGTGGCACAGCGTTGTGTGCACCACGCCTTATAAAGATACCTGCTCGCTCAAATGAAAAAAATATATATTTTCCATTTACGATTAGATTTTATTCTTAGATTACTTATCCCATTATATATTGAATTTCCCGAATATATTTTTTTCTGTTATATTTCAGCATGGACGAATGTGAGCAGCTATGCAATAGATTGGCGATAATGACAGGTGGAAAATTTAAATGCTCAGGATATGTACCTGACTTAAAGAAACGGTTTGGGACTGGCTTTACAATTAAATTGAAATTAAAGTCTGAAGAAGATTATGTGGTAAATGACGTTACAGAAGCATTGTGTAAAATATTCGATGATTGCCAGTTGAGAGAGAACCACGCTGGTATGGTTACATATTTTATAAAGACTATTGATGACCTTAAATGGTCTGAAGTTTTCACAAGCATGGAAGCCTTCAGTAGGGAGTGGACGCATTTTGTTGAAAACTATTCAGTAAACGAGACAACACTGGAGGATATATTTTTAAAATTCGAAAACAGCCAAAGAAGGGCAAGTGCTCAGCAATTACGTCATTCAAATGAGATTGAACCCTAAATAGTTTAAATTACTGGGTGTGACTTCTTTATCTCACTCTATTTCTCTCGGGTTTAATGCCCTTCATAATTATCACCGTATTATCATTTTTAAGAGCAAATATTCTTTTCGAAAGCAAGTGATATGATGAAATGTTATACATACATATACATATCGTCGATGTTTTTGCAAAACCGCCCATCGACCAGTTGCAAAACCGCCTAAATCGTCATTGTGACAAAAATAAGATTTGGTAACCCTGAACTCCAGGCATCGAGATTTATGCATAGGAATCATAAAATCGTTATTAAAACGACAGATTTGTAAAATAATAGCTAGAGAAAATATCGCCTATCAAGGCAATGCCTTCAAAGAAAACCCGTTTTTTCGCTCTCCTGTAAAATTCGAGTGCCGTAAGATAGGCGGTTTTGCAATTGGTCGATGGGCGGTTTTGCAAAAACATCGACGGTATACAAATGCACGAATAGGTAATACGTATATTACAACGTGCGACAGAAACAAAAAAAAAATTCAAAACATACGAAGGAATATACTCACGAAACTATTGGCCAAATATAGTAAAACTGCGTTTTTAGTTTTTCACTCTGACGTCAGGATTTTTTTCAAAGGACTTTGAAATTTTAAAGATATGATTCATTCAATAAAATCAGTGCAATGTAGAATAAAAATATGGGTACCAAATGAGAGAGAAAATTCTGTTTATTTTACAAGGACGAATAGGTATTGAAAATGCACTTTTAATAAATTGTATCTTTTTAAGTTAATAAAGTTTGCAGGACGAAATTCGATGAAGAGGTCGTGCGTTTATTAGTCCTCAAACAATTTTTTTTAAAAATAAATATTGCAAATTTTCAAGGATATTGAAGGAAAAAATTTGTAAAAGACATTTTCCATGCCCATTTGTCCTTATGCACCAAAAAATTAATTCTGTTATAATTCTACAGCATTTTTTCTTTTATATGATGCCATTATTATCCTAAATTGCACTGAATTTTATGAATAATTTTTTGAAATAATCATATTTTTTAAATTTCAAAGTCCTTTTGAAAAAAATTCTGACGTCAGAGAGAAAACCTAATTACGCAGTTTTACTATAATTTACCCATTGTTTCGCGAATATATTAATTTTTTTTTTGTGTAAAATTTACTGTCGCACGGTGTTATATATTCCTAGAATTAATTTTTCTAACAAGTGTTTTATATTTTATTGCATATTAGAATTACGGAAGAAAGGAAATGTGCGAGAGTGTCACAATCATTAAATACACTACTTAACTATGTATGTACAAAGGTATGCATATAAATTACTGTCGAACTTCTCTATAGTGAATTCCCACGGGACCAGAAAATTATGTACTTCACTGTATAGAAACTTCATTATAAAGAAATTATTATTTTTTTCAATTTTATTTAAAATAATCAGTAAGTTTGGTTTGAATTACACTCTTCCATTTTTCATCCTCAACAAAACCTTCCAAATTATTTAGAGAGTTGTACACTGAGGGAAATAATGCATAGTAAAACTGAATATTTTATATTTGATTATCGTTAAAAAATGTTCGTATTTAAAAATAATATTTTCATACAAAATTTATTACGTACGTATTTGACTGTTCTCATCTCAGTATGTATATGGAAGTGTACATACGCACCCCAAGCATGCAGTGCGTCGCTCTGAGAGCGGTGACAACACACGCATACATACATAGTACATGTTTATCTGTACAAACCGCGTGCTGTGGTGTTGATGGAAATTCAACATTTGAAAGCAAATTTATATGTCTGGGTGTAGCTGAGTGCGCAGAGATGCTTTCCACAATTTGTTGCTATCCAGAGAGATGGTCAGGGTTCGAATTCCACTGTAGGCAGCATGCAAATTAAATATTTTTTTTATAGTTTTTGTCGTGATGATTATTCACTTCACGGATGCTTTTTCAGAACGAACGCGGTCATTTTAATATGCGCGTAATTGAATTGAATATTTACCAATATACAGTACTTTCGTTGACGTTTATAGTAAGATCAATTACGTTTATACTGGATTTTAATATTTTTTCCCGTCAGTGTACACATTAATCGGTACGTTACTCCTCTTTTCTACAAAGGTTCTAATTAAGTTAATTGATGAAGAAACTTGTCCTAACGTAGGCAGTGCCTCATCAGTATCTGCCAATTTTTCTTCATATTTATCTGAAAATGTAAAAGTAGAAGTAATGTGTATTACATTTTGTTTGACTATAGGTGAAAATTTTAAGGTAAATACCATGTACAGCCGGAACTCCGCGACTTTCCAGAATGCTGCTGAGGATATCTTCTTCGGACGGGCTGTCCGAATGCATCGATGTTTGCTACTGTTTTAAATGAAGACCGTAAAGCAGCCAAATCCGTTAATGAAAGAATGTCCTCAGTTCGATCCTGCATTACATCTTTTGAAAATCCTGCCTTTCTAAAACAGTTTGCAATTGTTTCTGGTTTCACATTGAAATTCCATACCGTGCCTAAATTTCGAATGGCATGCAGCAAATCTATGGACATAACAGGGGTTTCCTCCTCAATTTGTGCCAGTATATTCGTCAAAATTCGCTTTCTGTAATGTTGTTTCATGTTGTAGATAATCCCTTGGTCCATTGGTTGAAGTAACGAAGTCATGTTAGGAGAAAAATAAGCGAGATGAATGCTTTACAATTTGTCTTTTACATCTCTAGGATGCACAGTGCAGTTATCTACAAAAAACAATATCTTCCTTTTTTGAGCAGCAAATTTTTTGTCCATCTGTAAAAGCCTTTTCGTAAAAATCTCACTGGTCAGTCATGCTTTTTTGTTAAACTCGAAATTGACATCCAGCGATTTTATTCCTTTAAAGCATCTCGGATTCTTGGCCTTTCCGATTACAAGCAATTTAAGCTTTTCCGATCCAGTCATATTGCTTCCCACCAGGACAGTTATTCTCTCCTTGCTTTTTTTTCTGCCAAAGCATTTCTCATTTTTGAATGCCAGCGTTTTATTTGGTAAGCATTTGAAAAACAAAGCAGTCTCATTGGCATTAAAGATGTCGTTTTGATTATAAGTTTCAATCAATCTCGGCAAAACGTTCGTTACCCGTTCGTCACCATCTTGTATGTTAGTATCAGCACTTTCCCCACATATCGCTTTTTGAACAATACCGTGCCGTCTTTTGAACTTGTCTAACCAATCTGTACTCGCTTCAAACTCCTGGAGTCCTAGTGCTTCCGCGAACTCTTTTGCTGTCTGCTTCACTAATATTACAGATAAAGGAAGATTCTTACCACGTGCAGCGACTATCCATTTCAGCATTGCTTCATCAACATCCTCAAAAATGCAGGTTCGAAGTCTTCGAAGCTCGACCCTATTAAGCTGGCATTTCAGGGTACTATTTTATATATATACATACGGAAAATTTGAAAGTTAGGGGGGGCTCGAGCACCCCCCTGCAGCTACCTGGCTACGCCCATGACTGCAATAGTAGCTGAAATGTTTCTTTCGTAATTTTGGGATTCCCCTTATTTATTTCTCGGAACACGCAGTTATTAATAAGCGTAACAGAAATTTGTGTGTAAAAATTCACTATATGGAGACAAAAATGCATGAGGGTTGAATTTCCAGCTGCGGAATTTGTTCATTGTAAAGAAAAGTTCACTTTACAGAACTTCATTATAAGGAGACCAAAATACACCAAAACTAAAACGAAACAGCGGTGTTTGAAATTATTTTATTATAGGCAGAACTTCATTGTATGGAAGTTCATTACAGGGAAGTTCGACTGTATATCGTTACCTAAAAGTGCCAAGTTCAATTTTTGAAATCATTGAGGAGAGGCGAAAAATCGATGTAGGCTGTGTTATCTGTCATTCTGCATCGAAAACTGAAAAAAGTGGACTTGGCTTCTTTTCGCCTTTATTTAACGATATGTATAGCGGCTAGTAAAATAATTGCAGCAAAATTAAAAATGATGCTGCTGGTAACTTATGTTTACCTATTTATCCTTGTAATATTATAAATGTGAAAGTTTGTGAGTGAGTGTGTTTGTTTATAGCTCTTTCACGCTAAAATGGCTGGACGTATTTCAATGAAATTTGGTACACTTATAGGCCTTGATTAACATGTAGGATATTTTTATGAAGGTGGTTGCCACTTTTTCAAAAGTTAAAATCAACTATTTGTTAAGTTAGATGAAATATTACAACAATGTGGGTGTCAAAAAAACAGAAACTTGTTTGAAAAAATTCACTATATGGAGACAAAAATGCATGAGGGTTGAATTTCCAGCTGCGGAATTTGTTCATTGTAAAGAAAAGTTCACTATACAGAACTTCATTATAAGGAGACCAAAATACATCAAAACTAAAACGAAACAGCTGTGTTTGAAATTATTTTATTATAGGCAGAACTTCATTGTATGGAAGTTCACTATAGGGAAGTTCGACTGTATATCGTTACCTAAAAGTGCCAAGTTCATTTTTTGAAATCATTGAGGAGAGGCGAAAAATCGATGTAGGCTGTGTTATCTGTCATTCTGCATCGAAAACTGAAAAAAGTGGACTTGGCTTCTTTTCACCTTTATTTAGCGATATGTATAGCGGCGAGTAAAATAATAGCAGCAAAATTCAAAATGATGCTGCTGGTAACTTATGTTTACCTATTTATCCTTGTAATATTATAAATGTGAAAGTTTGTGAGTGAGTGTGTTTGTTTATAGCTCTTTCACGCTAAAATGGCTGGACGTATTTCAATGAAATTTGGTACACTTATAGGCCTTGATTAACATGTAGGATATTTTTATGAAGGTGGTTGCCACTTTTTCAAAAGTTAAAATCAACTATTTGTTAAGTTAGATGAAATATTACAACAATGTGGGTGTCAAAAAAACTTTTTTTGAAGAGAATTGCCACCTTTTTATAAACATAAACATAAACACTAGGGATGTGCTGGGTATCCGGTAAGTATCCGGAATCCGGCTTATCCGGACGTGTTTCTATTATCCGACTATTCGGCCGGATACTGACTAAAATATAATTAAGATTATTTTTTGTATCTTTATAATTAAATTTGATATTATCTAATTAGTAATTAGAATTAAAAATTTATATAACTTTCATTATGAAAAGAAGCATTTCCGCATTATCTGGCAACACGCTATTTCTATTTTCAACATAAATGCTACCCGATGCACTAAACACTATTTT